CTAAACATTCTTCACCGAGCAAAAGAATTTTGTTTTTGCCCTGAAGTTTGGATACGGTTGCCCAATTGGCTGTCCAACTAGCAAGGCTAGGCAACAGAAGAGTGTTGGTCATGAAACACCTGCCTTCTTTTAATTGTTGCCATGAAACGTATTAAACACACAACAACTGAAGTGTGATCCACGCAGAACCTAAAAAGGTTCTCATTAACTGTTTTTCTGCATGGAAAAAAAGACATTCTCATCAGTGTTCAGAGCTGCAAGAACCAAGTTTCCATACAGTTTCTTTTTTATTATCAAGACTGATTTTCTACTTTTCCAGAAATTCATGTGCCTCTTAAGAAATTAATGAGTAAATTAAAAACATTGAGATTACTGTTTAAACGTTTACTTTACAGCTACATGAAGCATTTGAACATTAAAACATGTGTTCTAATCCTTCACTCCACAAGTATGAAACATGCTAACTGAAACTGCAAAATTCCTTTGAATAACAGCAGATTCCTGGAAGATATTAGTAAGCTTTTCTAATTACAGGGTTTTAATTTTTCCTATAGCTGAAAAAATTTTAATGAAGTACTGCAAACTGTATGAATGCAGCAAGATACCGTATGAAGGATTAAGTGAAGAATGCCTTTACTATATAATAATCCATGCTTATTTAACTAGTTACCAACTAACAGTTCCCACAATACTGCTTACGAAACTCACAGTGGTGGAGTTTTTCTTCAAAGACACTAAATGAAAATTGTGTGCTGTGTATTTAATTTTTTAAAAAAACGTAACTGGTAAGTGAATATAAAAAAAATCTATTATATTCTTCTTTATTTTTGAACACCTTTGTTTTGTTTTCTGGGACTGCTCAAATATTAGCAGCACTATTTCACACAAAGGAAAAGTTTTAAATACATATTAATTTAATTTTCCTGAAAAAAGGGAAAAAGAGTTACTATCAGAAGTTGAAGGTCTTTCAAGAATTTGATATAAACAAACACAAAACCTGAATTAACTGTTGATGGTTCCATTTCAGATGATCTATATTTGAAGCATATAAACTAAAGTTTATGCTGCATTTGCATTAAACAAGTATAGGAAGCATGGTATCTTAAGCATTAGATTAGGCAGATTTAAAAGACATCAGAAAGTTTTACCTGTTGAGAGTAGCCTCGAAATGTTGGATTAACAGCTTTAATTCCTTGAAATAAGCCAGTAGGAACAACAGAACCAGGCCTAAAGAAAAAAAGGTTTAAATATATAAATATACATATAAAGTAAGTATTTAAGGGGAATTTCTATCTTTACTGGGATCATAATTTTACCTGCAACTGAACTATAACATCTCTAAACATCAATAATATTAATATTAACCTTAACCAAACATAATATTGGTGTTGAATTATTAACTATCCAATTTTTTAAAAATTGTCATTCAACAGAAACAGAGACTGTATCAGGCCTTGTCTGCCACATTTCTTGTCAAGAGACTCAGATGACAAAGCATTCTCTTAGCACAATGCACAATTACTGTTTCTTTACCTTCATACTTGCATTTTGAAGTATTTTCGTAGACAGAGATAATACAAATTCCACATAAGGAAATAAGAGACATTGATAAAACACTGATACAAAATGAAGGACGCAGAGAACATAAAGTAGTTAAACATTTTTGATGTATTTCTGGGAGATATGAACTTATTTTTAAAAGCTTAATGCTACTTTGTATAGTGTTTATCATCTATTTCTTGTCAGATATTCCTTACTACAACTTACATCAATTATTTGTCCTAACTTTGGTAGATACAGGAAAGAATGGGTTATAAGGAGTGTTTAAATCCTGCAAGTTAGTCTTTCCTTCCTTAATTTAAAAGAGAAATTGTGATGCACACAAAAATAAAAATTCGAAACCTAGGACAGATTAATGCATCCTTCATGACTCTGGAGTTTATTATAATCATTTAATCATCAAAACAATGCAATACCTGCTTTTGTGCCAGAGTTCCGTCATCAGCTTGAGATAACTTTTACAAATGGCCGGTTTCTTATCTGTTCGGGCTAAGCCTCCACAGTCAAGAAAAAAGTGCGTCAAAGGTGGGCTGATTAAAAAGAAGAAAACAGTATTGTTTCAGGTTGTTAAAATACACGAGGAAATCTGCATTTCATACAAGATTACTAAAAAAAGAGTAATACTATTATGTAATTGAACAATTCCACTTCCTACATCATTAAATGCTGCAACCAAACATTTCCTAGTAGAACAACTTCAGCAGTATAGCAACACTGCTCCTCAAATGTATTCTGACACTTGTTAAAACCCCAGAATTGTCTAATAGGATTCAAATTCAAGGCAATTCCTACTAGCCATCACAGAAGTACACAGGTACCACTACAGCATCAATCACCATAAGCCTAGTCCATAAATAGCATCTTAAACAAATCATCTTTTCTCCAGAATCCAATAGTGCAACATGATGTTTGTAGGTAAATAACTTATACTTAAATGATTATTTATCTGTTTACTTCATGCAGTGTGGCCAGCTCACATACTCCCTCCTCTCCCTTCAATCTCTCTTTTGAGGTCACAATCCCTCATACAGATTGGGCCTATTTTTATCCAAGAAAGGAGATATCCCAGCATACTTGCAAAACGTGGCATTTCTCAACAGAATCATCTCCTCATGATTAGATGTTTTGTCCACTTTACCTTCTAGAGAGATATGCCTCAGTTCTCCTCTACCTCAACAAAGGATCTCGGTGAGATCTACTTAGCTCTCTATCCTGTCTTGGATTGCAGCCAAAAGCAGATGCATACAGTAACCATATATGATACAAGCTCAAGTACTGTCCCTGCCTAAACATTTCTAGTGTAAGGAACTTTAGAGTTGGATAGTGTTTTCTCTCTTCAGCTTTTGTAGATTTCTCCTTCATGAACATCTGGTATCCCCATGGGAATGACAAGATTTCATATTATAGCCATTCCTAGGATGATTTAGCATAGACTGTCCCAGATGCATTGTTTGTAAGGACTGAATTTGGACCTTTTGATCTTAACATGTGTCTTTTTTTTAATTAGGGTTTATTCTTATGCATTTCCTTGGATTTCTTCTGTAGCAGAAAAAACCCAACCCACAAACTTAATAGCTTTTATCAGATTTTCTTCTAATTTCTAGAACTGCATTTTATTTAGGACAGTGAGGAATTAGAATGAAACAGAGAAAAAGTTGAGTAGCCCATATACCATAGTACTTCTTTTTTTTCCTATCAGTAACACAATTGTTAGTAGTATATAACACACATTTAACAAATACACATCTTCTTCCATGGTAGTGCAGCCCTTCAAAACCCTTAAGTCCATGCTGAGAAAATGCACGTATAAACAAATACAAAATTACAAATATTTTCCTTACCAGTTGGAAAGAGCTTGTAAAGCTGCATTCATGTAACAAGTGTTTCCAATATTTTTTAATCCTGTTAGACCTGAAAAAACAGAATGAATATTCAGCAAGTCAGTTAATCCAAGACATACGGAAAATACTTCCTAGAAAGTATATACTAATTAAAACACTCGTGTAATACTTCTGATGCCAATTATAATGCAGAATTGTAACCAAAAGAAACATAGGACTCCTAAAGGAATACTAATCTAACTAGAAGTAATAATTAAGTGTTTTGATTTTGGCTGACAAAACACTTCAGACAAGTAGATTGTTTTTCACCTTACTAACTTCTGATGTTTTACGACAGCTCCAGACTGTAATTTCAAATATGTTTATCAATATTTAAGTTTTACTTGAAATTAATGATTTACCTGTTCAGTTAAATTGTTGCCATGTTGCATTCGTAACTGTTAATCATATTACCAAAAGTTTCTCAAGGAAGATTTCATTCTTCTGTCTCAAGTTCCTGCTAGTAGTCAGACTGTGCTGAACATTCAAAACTCACTCAGCATGTGATTAACCCAGAATCAGAATTATAATTACCTATGATCAGTCTTTTACTATGCCAATTACATATCCTTATTTTCATACACAGACTGCTCAGTTTAGACTTCCTCACAGAACCTATTTTCAAGCCCAGATTGTTTACTTTCTTTACTGATATCCACATACAGTTTTTTCCACAAACATAAAAGTTACAATTAACATACATTCTTTCAGTGACTATGGAGTCATGAAAAATGCTCTCTAAATATCTGAGAAGAGGCTATTTAAACAAGTCATAATTATCATATGATCTCAATTAAAAAAAATTAACCTGTAACACTTGCTAGTCATAGCTACTAAAGTGTTAAATTAATAAAGTAATTAACTTCAAAATAAAATTGCTTTTGTATGAGAAAACAGTAACATTTATAAACAAAGAACCAGTAAGTCTGAAAACATAAAATATTCAGCAATCAGTATCGTTGGCTCTATGCAATCCTTGAAGTAGAGGAACTACCCCTATCATTTTAGTCTGTGGCAGAAAAACAAAACTTCCTATGAAAATCCTTTTACATTCAAAAAATCAGTTTCGTTACTTCAGTTGAATTTTCTAATACACAGAACTTAAAAATTAAGTTTTAAAAGGTTCTTCTATCTGTCTGAATGGCAATAGTCCTGCTTCCTACATCTGAACCTGTATTCTGTCCTTCCAATTTCTGCTACAAAAAAGAATGGTAATTCTTACTAAAATTGGAAAGTAAGAACAGTCATAGGATTTTTTAATTTTTTTTTTTAACAGCAGAAGATGTATCAGGAAAATACTCTCACTGCAGTTTTCCAGCCTGTAGTGTTGCAACTAGTTTCTGAATAGACTTATTTTCTTGCAGAGATATATTCTAAATGTTTGCTTCATCAAAGCAGTTCAAAAGAAATTTTAAGAACAAAGTTAAAATGGAACTAAAGATGTTTTTTCCTTTAAATTTATGAAATGTATTAAGAGTCACATCAATATTACTGGGAACTTTAATGCAATTCTACTTGTATATTACCTCTACACAAGTTACATTCCCAAAAATATTAATAGGACAAGAAGATACACAAATACACACATTGGTAGGAGAAACTAACATGGAATATAACACATTGCTTAATGATTTAAGGGCAGATGGCAAATTAGTGGGGTGGTGACACATCCAGAAAGACCGTGCCAGACAACAGAAGGGGCAAAGTAGGTTTTTTGGCCAATGCCAGCAGACTTAGGAGAGGGAAAGCTGGTAGCAGATGAGTAAAGGAGAAATGAGATCCATAAATTAGAGTAACTCTTTTATGAGCACTGATGGAAAACGAACTGCCTTGACATATGCATTGGCATCTCAACAACAATAGCTCAACAATCTGCTGGTCAAATTTTTCTGAAAAAATGGCAGTTAGAAATATTTTCTTTACTAACAAATGCACATATCCTTTTTAAAATTATCAATACCAATTTGAGACTTGTAAGAAATAGTAATTATCATGTTCTCTTATGAAATGAGAAGTTAAGGCTTCACTGTTTGGGGTTTCATCCACTCTCATTTTCATCTTTACAATAGTTTTAATATTAGGGTGGGGTAACTTTTTAGACAAGAAAGTTTGGTAGTTTATTAAATCCATTACTGCAAAGGAGAAAGAAAAAAAAAAAAAAAACCAAAAAAAAACACATTGGGATACTACAGGCTCAGAAAAGGGTTACCCAAAATGCAGGAAGGCATTCAAATCAGGAACCTTTTAGGACAGGAGAAAACATTAAAAAAAAACAAATCAGATCTTAGTTGTAGCAGAATAGGAAACAGTTCCACTTAGAAGAGAACTAGTATACAGCTGGAGACATACACATGCGATAAAGGGCAATAAAGTGCTGGATTTTGCTTTTATTACCTCTAGTCTTTAACTCATCTTCTTCCACTTCTATGTCTAAGTCATCAAATACAGCTGCTAGGGGAATCTTCAGTGTGGGATTACTAGGTATTTTAAAATCCTTATAAGGAGAAAAAGAAAAAGTATATTTACTTGTATTTATCAATTTTCCTCTTAATTAAGCTTGCGTATAATTTCAGCAACAAATGTAGGAACTGAAAATTATGTGAATGTATTTTGAAATCTCACTGCACATGAAGTGAGAATAATAGGGTTCCACAGCTACCCTGATAAAAGTTTACTAAGAAAAACCCCACACTTTTGCTTTCAGATTAGCAGTGACAACATTGTATGATTTTATGACAACAGCTGAATAATCAAAACAAAGCAAGTTATAGTATTTCTTTCCCTTGGATAACAAACAGTAAGCCAGCACTGAAAAGCTAACATTAGTCATCACATAAAAGTTAGTGTATATGTTTTTGATATGCCACCAGATGGCTCACTACATTTAACGAAGACAAATTAAACCATTGGAAGCAAAGTGTACAAATAGAGAACAAAGTATTAGGCAGGCAGACATTTATTGCATGACAAGCTCTTGTTGTAAGCACATAAATAAAAACTCAAAACAAAATGTCTGACAGACTTCGTAAGTTCTACTGATTTTTCTGTATATTATACCCATTTCCTTGGAAGATTGAAACAGCTTAAGTATAATAGAACAGAAGTTCAGAAGTCTGAACTCAGCTTTATATCAAGTCACCAGAATTTCCTGCCAACAGAAATTAAAAAAAATAAATTTCAATGGTACTATTCCAATTGAGCTGCTGGCATTTTTTAGGAGAACATTATCAGATTACTTTCATATTAAATACTAAACTTTGAAGTGAAAATATTAAAAGATATTTCCTCTCTACATACATTGAAAAACTGCCCATCTTTCAGTGCAACCTATGCATCATGGTATCTCTTCCATAGCTCTATGCCTCGAGCAAGACAATTTTAAAAATACCATACTTGTACTTGTGTCAGTTTTAACCAAGTTACCTGTCATTTTTACATTAAATATGCAATAAAGAAATAACACCTTTTTTCAGATACATGCATTATGCCAAACAAGCATACTTAAGAAACTGCAGCATAAGTTCCTCCAAGACAACACTTATCTAGAAAGATATTAGCAGAGTGAACAGTACTGATGCCAGTAAAGACAAATGTAACCAGGAGAAGATAACAAAACAACAAATTGAAATTGCAGAAGAACAAGACAAGCAAATAGCATATTTCAAAATTCTCTGTATAACGTCTGCTTTGCTCATTTTTTTCCTCTAATTCATCTCCGATACTAGCTAATGCTTTATTCATTATCTTACTCTTCAGTCACTATGTTAATTATTAATAAATGTGGAGTTAGGAAGAGCTAAATACTTTTATATAGTCTTGCCTTTGATGCCATAATTATATAAAACACTACAATCTTAAGCCTGTGTTTTACTCGGCTAATACGAACTTCTCAGATACTGGCCCTGTTTTTCTCCTTGGCACTTTTATACTCCTTGGCAATCCTAACTGCTGTAGAACACTAAAGAGCATTCTCCTGATTTCTAATTTGATACATATTTTTCCACATTAATCTAACACAATATATTTGTCATTCTACACCAAAACTACACAGGTATATAGAATATACACAGGTTACTACTGCCTTCTTAGTAAATTCTTGCATAGTAGTTAAATTCTTAACTATCCAGAAGTGTTTGTGTGTATGCTACTCCACGGGGAAAATTTTCCCACACATGTATACATACACAAAAATCAAGACCTTTTCAGTCATTTATCAAAACCAAAAACTAGACATGTTTAAAACTCCAAAACCAAATTACAGGAATCCCTTTAAGTGTCTTATATTACTAGCTCAATGAGGTTAACAATTAGCATATATTTCTCTAAAAGTACTGTGCTTCTATGAATTAATTTGTATCTTAGGCAAGTATCCTAAACATATACTAAGGCATTCTGCCACTCCCTGAAAGTTAGTCAGCAATTACCGTAATGAGTTTTGTAAATAACGTTTTCAAGAGCTGACAGAATGGGGAAGCACAGGTGAACTATTCAAATCTTGTAATCTTAAATTTAGCCCTGTGCTTTTTCTGTACCTTACAGTTTATTGTAGATTACAAACAATTAGACAACAAGATGGAAAAAAGCATTCTTAAGAAGCATGCAGTACACACAGACAAAACACAGAAGCTGGCCACTGTCTTTTTAAAGAAATTTTATAAAAATAGAGAGAAATTATTAGAAAGTTCAGCCACAAGAAAGGAGGAAAAGTCAGGCTCACTGGAGAGAAGACAGAATGTTTACTACAAAGCTGCAGCTGCCTTTGTTTCATTGGGTTAGCAAATACCTGCACGCTATTTTCTTGTGCTTGGTGAGACAGTCTTGCATTTGGTAGTGGAGAATGAGATCCTAATTTTCTATCCAGGAATACTTCTTTACTACAGGCATAACACCAAACACGGAGCGTAGTAAGGTTGACAGTTAGACAGTGTTTTGTCTCCTAAAACAGAACAAAAACCAAAACTGTGATTCAGAAATTTGGAATAATTAAATACTGCTACATGCAAGCTAGAACACAAGTATTAAAGATCTTTCAACAACGAAAGAAGTAAGTATGTTAGAATATTAAAAGATAGCAATGCAATTACTGAAATCTTAGCACAAACTATCCAACGCTCATTTTCAGTACAAGTCACTCAAATCAGCAACAAGGTACAATCAGAAACAAGCCATTGTCATATCTGACATGCCTCTGTGTAATCACAAAAATAAGAAGAAAGCCTGTTGTCAAAAGTGCTACAATTCACAACAAACCAATTTTCCAGGAATGTCTGCTATTGGTCATAACAGCAGCCACCTCCCTTACGGTAAGGGTAGTGTTTATTTCTACTGGTTTGCTGTAGAAAATTCAAGCTATTTAACAATCAATCAGAAGAGTAAAATAAAATTTTTAGTTCAGTTAGAGTAAGAGGTGCTCATATCAAAACAAACACTTTAGACTCAATTCGTTCTTTTGTTGACAGCTTCATATGGTGAAGCAATATAAAAATTTGCCAGATTGGGAATATTTTTACTGTTCTCATCTTTCTTTTTTTAACCTCTTTGCTTATTGTAAGATTGTGTACACAGTTGCTATCGTCCTCCAAATATTTCCACCAATCCTTCCTGTATTTCTTCCTCATATGTTGGCAGCAGCCAGGTTTATAGACAACAAGGGATTTGATAGAAATTAGGAAAACACTACAACTGCTGCAGGATGCCCAAGTTCCTCCTCCCCTCATTTAATAAGGCCCTGTACAAGAACTATGTTTTTAATATAAACTGTGGGCTACGATTTCATTAAGTAGCCCTCCACCTACTAAAAAAACATCAGATTACATAAATACCTCAGACAATTTTAATCATGAGAATATGCTTGATTCTGCAGCTTCAGCTGCATAAATAATTACAAGTCTCCAGAGCAACAGCTTATTAATTTTCTTGAAGTGGACACAATGAACATGATTATCTGCAGTACAGGTAGCCTTGCTGGTCGAAATGAGTAAGCAGAAATAAACCGATTCAAGTCAACTTGTTTCTCACATTTTAGTGAGTTTAACTGAGATTTTTACGGGAAAAAAATCCACAACAGGGCTTACCATCCAGAAATTAAAATTAAGTAACAAGAAAATCAAGACAAGGATGCCACTGACAGCAAGCAAACTATCCATTCCCTTTCTCTTACTTGGCAAGTGCATAACATTGCTAGAACAGCATGTAAAGCAGGAATAAAATACCATAGAAAGTCAAGAGGTACAAAATTGTAGGCAAGAAATTCAGGGACCATCTGTTCCCCAATTGCACTACAAGCAGGTAATTTATATATCTATTTTGAAGGCTTTAGAACTGTGATTCAGCTTAAATAGCTGGCAAAAATTTTGTATTTAGATTGATATTAATGCACTATTGATTTGTATAAATATGTACTCCTCTCAAGGTCCTACTTCAAAAAGAAAAATCAGCAGTGGTAAAATGCAGTCACAAAGCGTACTTCTTGTAAAACCGGAGTATATACTATTTGTTCATTTTAATATTCACCAGGGTTCTTTTTTTTTTAGTATTTTCAGGGACCAAAAATTGCTCACTGTGGAACCTTAGATGTATTTTCTGACAGATGAACTTTAAATTGGTGGCAAGAATTTAATTTCATCGGAAAGTAAACAATTCTCAAATGACGTGTTAATAAAACTGCCATCCCTCTATCCCCAGTATATTTGTTAAGAGAGAATGATATATCTAATTTGCTTCATTTTGGCAAGTGTTCCACCTGCACATGTGTGTGCACAGAACAGACAGTGACTTTAAGACCCAAACAGATGCACTCAAGCTGTCCAATCCTGCCAGACTGAGCATGCTGGGGAACATAGTGCACACACGCCACTGCTCCTACCAAGCTGGATCCAAAGTCAGGACATAGCAGGAAAGGATATGCTCAGCTCAGTCTACAGTTTCTTCATCTGCAGCCACTGGAACAGGGAGCATTAACGCAGAAAGAAAGCACCTGTTTCCGGTAATTTATAGTTCCTATCTTGCACCTGTTCAGCTCTCATCAGTCCAACTTCCCTCCTCTTATCCATCAGGCAGCCACAATCCTAAAAGGTTAGACTGAAGTCGTCAAGTACTACATGTAAGCCGAAGTACTAAAGAAGCCTTTTGTTCATGCAACTTGAAAATCATCAGTAATTGCTTTTTTAATTTTCACCATGTTCTTTTAAGGAGCACAATAATGTCACAATTACATAAATAATTACACAGCTGCACAACGACTGTAAACTCACATACTGCTAAATTAGTAAGACCTGCTTCTATAGATGAAAAACAATCATAGCTAATGAAACTTCCGAACAGTTACACTAACACAGGTTACTGACTTCACTAAAATGAGTAAAAAAAGTTCTCTAACTCTATTTCACTGCTTCAAGTAACTGTATTACTAGCAAATACACATACCTGAGAATGGGTGGTACTGTGATCAACGTGAGATTCACCACAGCCAACATATGTACATCTGTTCTGTTGAGCAAGATATGAAGAAGTATACAGAATTAAAAAGTTGTGTCAAATAGGTTTACAGAATAGGACTATACTGCCAGTCCCTTTAAAATTCACTCAAATTTCAAACTTGCAGAGTCCTTCACAAACCAAGACACATGCACAGTAAGTGTTAAAATAAGTATCACCTAAAGCAAATAAGAATGCCGCAAGATTTAACTCAACTCCTCTCACTGGTGGGCAGCGTTAGACAATTAAAATGTTTGGAACAAAATATTTTGGCTATTTTGATATATTTATTCAGATTAAGGTCAACGTGTATTTTTTTTACAATTCATGATTTGGTAGAGATTGTTACAGAAAATACGAAGTTAGTCCAGTGTCTAAAATACTGAATTGCAACAGCCTCAGAACATGCATGACACATTTGTACAAAAACGGCTGTATGCCCCTATCTGGAGTGCCTATTATCAAGAATATTACTTCACAATTAATTAGTTTTTTAACCTTTAAATAAGAGTTTCCAGCACTATATGGTTAAGTACTTACTACATTCTAGTTATAACATGCAAAATAATAGTTAATTTTAATTGTGCTAATTGCAAAACATATTTGGCTGAGTTGAGTGTGGAACCTTGCAGCTGCCAATCTCCAAGAAATTTTCATTAATTCCTCATTTACCTAAGTCAAGACAATCACATAAGAGAGTACAGCATGTTATCTGTATAAGTCTCTAAGCAATTTATACAATCAAATAGCAGCTGAACACAGTCAATTTTCTATATTAAAAATAATCACAGATATTTGTTAAGTTACAGATAGTTAACATGCTGGGATCTCACCATGTTTTTCTACTGAAAAAGGTGAAGGCAAGCTGCCAGTTCATCCAAGAGGAGATACATCACAGCATGACACTAAGTGTCCTACTGCAATTACAAAATTCTCCTATGGAAACGCTGGTGTGAAATTGAGTTTTTCAGTAACAGTTTAAGAGCTCTAAGTGAGAAATAAAAAAGATGTTTTAAGCTTCACAGTATTTCCCCACCTGCCAGGCTGATGCATCCCTGAACACCTCTTCCTACTCCCAAGAGGGCGTTTGTATGTAATTAAACTTCAAGCCATCTAACAAAAACACATTAAACACTGCTTCTTTCCCCCTTCGTTTCCATCTCTTATTGACAGAGGGAGCAAAATAATCCGATCTCTTAACTGTTACCATAATCCACTAAAAAGGAAACTAATGAAGTAGATTTTTAAAAATACGCATATATACATCTAAAGGTTGGTATCTCAGTCCAGATACGTTCCTGACAGGACTTGGACAAAAGTTGCGAAGAACTGAAGTCAAGCCTATAGAGCAAAATTTCAATCTCTGGAAACAGCTGTATGTCTGAAGAACTCGTGAGACATTTTAAAAACTAAATTAGCTACACACTTTCCCCTTCATATCATAGATCAATCAGAAGCAACATTTTCAGAGCCTTTTTTCTTTAAGTACACCGAAAATTACGTTTTTTGTAGACAGCAAGAAGAGTAAGGCAAAAGCATATTTAAGAAACAACTATACCCAGGGTAAAGACTGTACAAAATTTGTACGAAGTCTGAAGACTGTTTATACAAGCTTCCAAAAGTTTCCAAAAAAGTTTTTTGCTTTGTTTTACTTAAGAATAAAAAAAGTCAGAGTATGTATTTTTATGCCGTAAAAAGTGAGCATTTACTGCTAGATATTATTATTACAAATGCTAAGAAAGGCTTATAAAAAGTAACTTAATTCAGGGATAATATATTATTTCTCAGATCTACAGACTTGAGGAAAAGATTAAAAAAAAAATAAAATCTTATGAGCTACAAAATATCATAACTTAAGAAGAAACCTTAATATGCTAACTTCCTATCCAAAAAACCAACTCATTTTAAACACAGTAATCTTAAATTACAATAAATATGTACCTGTTAGAGCATAAATAATTTTAAAAACAGAAAATTGTACAACAGGTTTTGCTTTTAAATAATAACTTAAAGAAACTATATTAAAGAACTTCATTATAGTTGTTTCTTCAAAAAAATACTACTAATTTTATCTACAGAATACTAGAAAGGGACCCTACTATGGAACAACAGAACAACTTACCTCTAAGCATGCCCAAAGGTTGGGTCCTCTGACTTTACAATCCTGACAAGTGCCCTATTAAACACACAAGCAAAGTATTATTTCATTTACTTTCACCAGTAAACAAAAACTTCAAGATAAAATGAGAAAAAATACTGTAAAGCTCAGTGTCAGTGGAATAATTTTAAGACAAAAAAAAAGGATGTATTGATAGCCAACCAAATCTTTGTTGTGCTTCACATAATCTTAAAATCGGCACATTTTTCTAGTAAAACCTTGGATCTCTGAGTTTTCATCTTAACCTAAAAATTGTTCTTCTAAATAAAGCATAAACACAGATCGTATCACATTATTATAAAATTCTCAAAATTGGTCTTTCCTATAAATTTAATAAAAAAGAAATGAAAATGATAGAACTTGTAATAACTGCATATTCCTATTTGCAGACAGTCAACACTACCTGCAAAGGCTTATAAAAAAAGATGCAACATTGAAGAAATGCTGTAGCCCTTAGCAGCAAATTAACTGTTACAGTTTTCAGATAAAGAAATTTAGCACCATGGACAGAAAAGGTTTGGCTTTTCATCACCTCCGAGCTACTAAAAATGGGTTACAAGATCTTTCTTTGTTCCATTTATTAATACTAGCTGGAGACCAAGAGTTCAGGTAGGGGGAGTTTCTCAAACTGTGGCTCTTCCATCAAAAAGTGAACTGTTGTCCAAGAAAAACTTAAGCATAAATTTCTTTGTTACAGTTTCTACCTAAGTCAGTTATGCTATATTAATTAACATTCCAAATAACTAACTGCTAGAATGGCAATGTCTGAAAATACAGTTCAACTTGGTGTTATGTTAACTCTTTAACTAATATTTCCATTAAAACATCACTTGCTTTGGAAAACACTGCTGGGAAAGGTACTCTAAGTGTTAAGTACTGAAAAATACTTTTTCAGTTTTTATCGAGCCCATAATTCTCCCGTACTTCGTTTAAATCTTACTACTCCAGTACATAAGATTTTACCCATGTTAACACTCAAATGTACCTTATAACTAATAATATATGACAAGATATGTAGCTAAAATAAGTGACCAGAGTTAACTGTGATAGCAAGAAAGTAAGCTGCTACAACTCACATGAGATTTCTGTATCAATTCCTCTTTTGTTATCTCACCAACTGATTCCAAGTGTGGGCAATCACTGCTGGGTGATGACATTTCAGAAGGTTTATTTTCCAAGATCCTGTAGCTGCGATTTTCAAGACCAGAGAATCACTTGTCAACAGAAGTAAGAATGAGTAAAAGCCAATTCCTTACAGTAGGCAGCAGTATTATGTATCTAATATGCAACATACGCATAATTTTTAAAGGAATGTGCCTTTTTTAAGCAAATTAGTATAAATAACTTTATCAACAGTAAGAGAATCTAATAGTCCAAATTAAACAGAGCTGACTTCTAAAACAAAATCCTCTGACTTTTAGAGCACAAACTAACAGAACCTTGAGTGGAGCAGAGCTTGTTTTAGATTAATTATTTAACTTTCTGGTCTCTACCATAGCACCTCAACAACATAAAAATTACACTTTTCAAGCCTACCCAGAACTGATGGTAGCTTTGACTGTATATTCTGGAAAGGGATCTTATGGAACACTGCTGAAGTGTGCTGAAGCTTTGAAGACTAAAATGCAGGAGCACATGACTTGCTTGTCAAAGGAGAAGGAAATTTTATCTTGGTTTTATTTATTGACAAAGACACATTCTAGGTTCAGGCATATTATATATCAAAAGCAAACTGAAACTCGTAACTTACATGTAGTACTGAACACTCAGAGAGCTTTTTTCTTGCTTGAGTTCTCTCTGTCCTTCCAAGGTCTCTGATGGTGACACAGAAACTTATCAAAGAATGTTAAATACAATCACTTTGTCATTATTATTTTTACGGTTACATAGAAAGCATAGAAAGCTATGATGTTTTACAGAAGGAAAATAAAAAAACCTCAGTAGCCTTCTTTTTACATAAATACTCCAATTGACTCATGCAGATAAGAACCATCCAAGAACTTTCATAGAATCATAGAATCACTTGGGCTGGAAGTAACCTTTAGAGGTCATCTAGTCCAACCCCCCTGCGGTGCACAGGGACATCTCCAACTAGACAAGGTTGCTCAGAGCCCCATCCAGCCTGACCTTGAACGCCTCCAGGGATGAGGCTTCCACTACCTCTCTGGGCAACCTGTTCCTTTCTTCACCACCCTCGTAAAAAATTTCTTCCTTATGTCAAGTCTAAATCTACCCTCTTTTAGTTTAAAACCATTACCCCTTGTTCTGTCACAGCAGACCCTGCTAAAAAGTCTGTCGACATCTCTCATATAGGCCCCTTTCAGGTATTGGAACTTTGTTCCAGTTTTGTCACTTAAACTATTACTACTGATGCCTCAATCTCTCTAAAGCCCAAGAAATCTTAAGCTTTCTTTGCCCAAATATTATCTGTCCAATTTAGCATTCCTTTATCAAGACTTGCAACTAAACTTCCATCCCAACTCAGTAACACACACTCCTTGATCTGTTTGCAGCCTTTAGCACTGTTATCAACATCTCTTTCCACTTTGCCTGTTTGCTTTGGGAGCTTTAGGTTTGCTCCTTGTGCTATACAACCAATCACTACTTTAAATACTAAGTAACCTAGAGCTTTGATGGCATGGGGGAAAAGAAACCTTGCCTTGCAGGCATCTCAGACACACTACCTAGTAAACTTGCAGTTTGTTATCTCTGACTTGGTCTTTACTTCATTGCCTTGCAATAAGACCACTTTGAATCAAGAGTAATTTCAGTTCCCTTTGGTCAAAGGGGTTTTTTATATATGTGTGTATGTTTTTATATATGTGTGTATATAAATAGTCTCTATTATTCCTATAAACATTCCTATACAAATAATATTGTCAAAGGATTATATATTATTTATATGGGAATAAGATATAACACTTCATATAATTTATTATATACATGCATGCATATACCTGCATATATATACTTAAATATATATAATACAAATATTATATAACATATACATATACTTAAGTGTGTGTGTATCTTTCAATCTTTTTGAATGTCACATTAACAGCTGTTCAATAAAATATTTAAGAACTTATCTCACAAGACTGTAAATACTACAGCAAATTAGTAATTCAAGATTTTTTTCAAGATGAGGTCTAAATTGTCTTCCTGGACCACTGGCATGACGTTTAAAAAGCATTACTCTAACATACAAGCTGCAGCTTTCAGTGTCTATTTGTAATCTATGCGCAGTATTGCTGAAAGACACTTCAAATATCAAAACAATAGTTTTTCAGGCCAAACCTCCTCAACTGCAGTCATATTTAACAATTCTGCTTTGAACTGTAGAGTTCCTTTTCAGAACAGAAATGGAAACACAAACGTAGGTTTCATCTTGCACATTTTGCAAGGTCTGTTAAAACATTAAAAATGGACAAGTTGAGTTTCAAATAAAGCCCTGATACCCTTAAAAAAATTCACTGTGAATTAATGCTGATTTTACACAAATGATTTAGAAAGACTGGTACAATGGGTTAGTAAAGCTTTAGGCTTAATTTTTTTATGGAAGAAGTTTTCTGAGTGCATTATTCCAAGTAATATAAAGCAATGAATGAAGTGGAGACTTCACCTCATGCTACCAGATTTGCATTTAACAGCTATTTTTCACACCTGGAACCACACAAATCCAAACCTGCAGTCCTGAACAAACCCAAACCCACAAGTTCTGCTCATTCCAGATTCTGTTTCTTGGTGCAGTCTGCACCTCTCTTCTCATAACTATCATCAGAAAGACCAAAGCATGTTGAAACTCATGTCCCTGTGGATGTGGTCCCTATTCCTGTCCATATGGAGAGCATCCCTTTTAGAAGTCCAGTTAATGTTACAGATTCGTTACATCTTACTATATCGGCAAAGCTGAATGGCTTTTCTTTCACCTTTTGTTAACAAAATTCTTACACACCTTCTTCCATCCTGTTGCAACTGTGATAACTCACTGTACTGCCACAATCTTGGTAGCTTAATATACCTAGCTGCAGTAACATACGGTAAAATTTTATGTTAGAGTCTAAAACTGTAAAATTAATTTCAAAACCATGATTCATCATCTAAGTCCTAGTAAGCCCAGGGTTGCCTCTCCCTCGTTCACTGCCCTTCCTCCATTCCACCACTTCCTACTCTATCTGAAAAGATTGCTTATCTTACTCTACTGACTTATCTCATTATCACATCTGCTTTTTCATGAGCTTCTGCCTTGCGTTGACCTCATCTAATAGTCACTTCTTTGCACGGCAGTAATTAAAAAAAATTAAAAATCTACTTGAGTAGTTTCTTTTACATTCCATTTTATACTCCTGTTCTGAAGCTGGAGTGTATCTCCACTTCATGCCCCCAGTGATATGTGATAGTTTGTACTGGGAAAGTACCCAGATATCTCATACGAACAGCTCTACTCGGTCAGATGAAAGGTCTGTTTAGCCCCATATCCTGTTTCCATCACTGACCAAAAGAAGACATCAACAGAAGAATAAAAATTTTACAAGAATATATAGCTTCCCTGAATCCCTTCCAGTTCTAGGGCTTCCTGAACCAAAAGTTTATATATTAGAAAGACAAAGGCTCTGGGAAGGATCTGTATCAGTAATTTCAGCCTTCCTCACATTGACAAGCTCTAAAATATTGTTATCAAGACAGGAATTCTTAGACAGCAATCATGTGTCCAGTGGTAAGATGACTATCTCTGTCACCTTTCACAAATCCTTCAGAAGTATTCCACGGTCTCAAAGGAACCTTAGAGAAGTCACAAGCTGAAAACCATGAACCTACACATACAGGATAGAAGCATCATCTTTGTTTCACTATGCAGTTAAGAATGAAGTAAAACTTAACTGTGAATAGAACTCAAGTTTTCACACTAACTGCTCATGATCATATTCATGCAATAAACTTCTAATCAAACACTTCCCATATATGCGGGAGAGAACTTTGCAGTCTATTGCTAGCTCTCTCCATTGTTTGCACTGAAAGGTTTGTTTCAGCTCACGTATCTCAATACATTATACTACATCATTCAACTAAGTGAACCATTTAATGTTCAAAAGAAGGACTTGTTAACACATTTTTGCTTAATGCATGCATAGAAAGTCATACTTCAAAGAAAAAAGAAAAGCCTGTAACACTTATATTGAACTCCAGTTTTTTCTTGTTCTTATTCTTTCCATTCACTAAGAAAAAAAATTTGCTCACATTAGCCGTCAGAGAAATATGAACCATAATTTAAAGCATCATGACCCGCACCTATTTATTATTCAGCAGAATTCCATGGCATCACAAACTTGTATGGTACCTACCATGGAAGGCCTATCACACACATAGAAAAATCCCATCAAACACTAAGAGAATTTAGCTGATCTTGAAAATGATCTTAGGCTCATGCAAGGAGCCTAGTAGTTCCTAAAGAAACAACAGATTTTAAATTCTGTCAAAAAACTTTGAATTTATGTTTTCATCTGCCTAGTTATAGTAGTTAACACTTCAACAGATGTTGAAATAAACAAATAGATATCTTTATTTCATTGATGCCCCTAAATATGGAGCCATTTTATCAGATCATTTTACAAGGTTCAGTAAGGGAACATGGTGGAAGATTTTAAGAATAAAAGGATTATTCTGAAAACAGCAATTACCTGAAGCAGCAATTGTATCTTCATTACGGGCTTTTATTATTTTGCCTGGACAGCCCCGGATAACAGCATATCAAACCAGTAAGCTCTAAGTTCAGACTTCTTATTTGCACTCACAGTTATTTTACTAGCGATGCACTGGAACAATCGCATTTAACATTTATTTTCATTTTATGGCAACAAAGTAAGAGTGACACAGGGGTGCAATTTTGTATCTAAACATTTAATTACTTAGAATACAAAAGATCTCTGGAACTTCAGTAATTAGTTGTCACAGACACTCTTCACACTTCAGAAAAAACCTCACCAGCATTCACTCCAAACTACACATGCCCATTGAAGCTACAGCCTTAGACATATGTATTCAGATTTTTAAGATGGGCATTTTTCATATCAGTTTTCTAAAGAACTGTTTTGCTCTTCAAAATCTTTACAGGATTCTTTGGCAATTTATTACAGAAATTATTTCAGCATAACAATGCACATTAATAATATTGTTACTAAACTTGAGAACAGTCGTCTTA